AAGTTTTGAAAATGTTACTTGTCTCACAATTTAGTCTTCTGCACTAAGTATGCTTATTTTATTCTTGATACCAACACAATTACCCGTGTTAACTACTTGTGTAATTGGGATTAGATTAAGTACTTTCAAGCTTAATTTTTCTTGATACTACTTATATTTCTAACTTGGTCTGAAGATGGGACTTTGTTTAGAAAGTATACTGAACTTTTATAAACAACCACTGATTCAGACTAACATACAGTTTTTTGAGGGAAAGGCAGTTTTGACAAGCATTTGTAGGAAGCAAATTCTTAAGAACATTGGAAATCTCAGAAACTATTGTCAACTTGAATATATGGTGCTAGCCAATAAATTTTGTCCCATTTAATATTTTTTGAACATGAAGCAGAATGATCAAGTTCGATATGGTACATCTTTTTTTTCAATTGTTTTGGGGATTGATTGTAATATACATCTCTTACTTCTTGTAGCCTGAACAATTGAACAAGATATTTGAGCTTTGCGGGTCACCTGATGAAAATAATTGGCCAGGGGTTTCTAAGATTCCTTGGTATGCTAACTTCAAGCCATCAAGGCCCATGAAGAGACGTGTTAGGGAGGTTTTCAGACAGTAAGTAAAGAAAGATGTAGCTTTCCCAGTTGGCATTATTTGAAACTATGGCTCTCCATCCTGTTTCAACAGATTCAGTTTTGATATTTTTGGTTTTACTCGTAGTTTTGACCGCCATGCCCTTGATTTATTGGAGAGAATGCTGACACTTGATCCATCCCAGGTATCACCTTCAATATTTGAATATCTGTACTCCTTTACATAGTGGACATTTATGAGCTGTTTTCTTTTTTCTTTTTTAAATGCTTATGAACATATGGAGTTTAGGAGCTGAAAAAACAAGCTCAGTGTGTTTGGTTAATTGTGTTTCTACTTTTTAGTAAGCTTATCATAAGTTGGTAAGTTTGATAAAAATCTTTCTAAGTTGGAAAGTTGGTAAATGACTGAAAGCAACATGGGGACAAAAAGTTCATTATTTTCTCTGTTTATAAACCCCCCGGGAACAAGTTTAGATGTGTTTGATTAGGTGAATTTTTGCTTATAAATTTCATGTTATGGTCAAATATTTGAAAATACAATCTCCCTAAGTTGAAAAGTTGGAAAAAAATGTTTAACAATTCAAAAGGGAAATTTTGGCCAAAACACGAGGTGATAGTTTTTCTTCCTCAATTATGGTTTTCATGGTTCATAAGCCCATATATATTTGCTCATGTATGCGGTTTTTTTTCAGTCAAAACAGGCGTATCAAGAACTCCTTATAGTCTTTTATTTCCTTAAATTGTTAACTTCCAGTAGTTTGATCTTTTTGCAATAGGTGTCAAATAGGAAGCCAATTACATAGTGCCTATTTAACTCTTCTACGTTGAATTATAAGCTAGTTTTTGAGAGGTATAGTAAATTAGGTAGACATGGCATGTTTTTTTGGCATAGTACTCCTAAATTAATTAAACAAAAAACTAACCCCAAGCTAATATGAGGGGGCTTATTATTTTTGCCTTAAAACCAAAGAGTAATTCAGAAAAGAAAAAAAAGGAAAATTCAAATCTAAAAGGGCTGTAACACATAAGGGAGAACAAGCCGGATGTGAAATACTGACACAAACTTTTTAAATTTCCAATATTTTATGGAATTTGTATAAAAAATATAGCATGATGTGTCTTAAGTGTTTCTGAAAAATCAGGGGTTTGTCTCCTTGGAGTAACAAGTTTAGGTAATGTCATTTGTATTAGTTGCTACTTGAGAGTGGAAGTCAATTCTTTAGGAGTAGCTATAAAGCGGCTTTCTGTCATCTATAGTTTTTCTTTGATAATGCACTAATTATGAGGCTTCTGCAATCTATTACTAATGCAATGAAAGTAGAGCAGTGTGCTCACTGGCCTTCACGTGTCAATAGTGATAATAAGATGGCATATTTGAGCATTCTCAAGCTATAGGAATGTGATTTAGACCTGAAACTTGCTTGGTTCTGATTCTTTTTAATTGGAGACTAACAATTGTGTTTTTTAAAAAAAAAAAAAATCTATAGAGGATATCTGCAAAAGATGCACTTGATGCTGAATATTTCTGGGCTGACCCTTTACCTTGCGATCCCAAGAGGTAATTTCCATGTCTCTGATTAGATCATACACTTGATCCATTGTCTTGAGTTTATTGTTCGTCTTCAAGATAACGAAAAAGGCTGGTGCTAAACTTGCATATCCAGTGGAGAACTAAAATATGTTATGCTATGTGGCGGACAGTTTTCGTTTCTTATATCATGTCTACATACATCTTTCCTATCCAAA